GAAGAAGAAGGTCGAGTGTTACTGAAGTCAAAAATGCATGTCCTCCCCAAATACTTCCCACTCTACGACTATGTCTAAACTGCAAGAACTCTTTCAACCCAAATGTTAAACAGCACTCATCTTATTCTCTGAGATATAACTGGTATATATCCATACTATGCCAGCCTCAAAGTTCCCTCTCTCTCTCTCTGTGTCTGTCTCTCTCTGGTCAAATTAAAATAAATGAATAAAATTAAATTAAATTAATCTAAAAAAAAAAGGGTACCATTGCATTAGGAGCCACTCAACTACTGCTAGCCATTGATATTAAAAGTGCTACGTTAAGTGCCTTGATAAATTTAAAAACTAAAATGATCATATCTTAAATCACACCATACCCTGAAAGATACACTCAATTGATAATAGTATAATTCTTAACATTTTCAGAGTCTTTTTGTGTTCAGTACAATAAGCCAACAAACAACCATAAGAGTTAAACGAATCCTAAAATAACTTCATTCTTTTTTCCTAAGAGAAAACATGTGTATCAAACACTATTCATTTAAGAGGAGAAAAAGACTGACCTAAGTGGAAATCATAAATGAGTCATAAGAACGTCTTCTGAAACAAACCCATTTACTTAGCAGGCCATTTCTTTCTTTATTATTTTTTTGGTTTTGGAGAGGTTTTTGCTATAGGGCGCGTGCACTCACCAGACAGACAGACAGAGAAAGAGAGACAGAAAGCGAGAAATCACCCCCCAGGGGGGATGGTCACGCCGCAATCCCTTCTCCTCCATTCTCCTCTCGGGATCTTGGGCACGCACGCACACGCGCCCAGCGTAAGTTTTAAGCCACCAGGTCCAGGACGTGAACCACGGTCAACTACATGGGAGTCCAGCGACATAGCCATTACGCTAACTGCTGGTCCCTTAGCAGGCCATTTCTGATGATAACATTTTAAATACACAGCCAACTCCTACGATCTGTGGGAGTTGTGCTCTAAGTCACTGTGGTCACTGAATCAGGGACTCCTGAGCCACCCTCAGGAGCAGGTTGGGTTCCGGTGAGCCTCTGTTACAATGTTTTTGTCAGCCTATCAATGCACGACCTTATTTTCTGTATGCTTCTATTGGAAGACACCCTCTTTAACACATGTTATTTTATTCATCATGACCAATAGCACTATAACTCATGCCTGAATGAAGCTTACCTAACACAGATAATTTCTCCTGGGCTTAGGAACCCCTGATGACACTTCAGCAATATGCCTGGGAGCCATTTTAAGCAGTAAAATCACCAACGAAAAGCAGAAAGCAAGAAAACCACAGTACTGCGTAGACCATGGAAAGGACATTGCTTGCACTGTCAGAGCTAAAACAAGAGGGCAGAATGCTGCCTGCTCAGCCTCACCTGGGAGCATCCATGCATGTCTGCAAATGACCTCATACTGATTTGGAGGTTACAAAGAAATGTGAGCAAGTCAGTGGATTAGCAAACACAGAAGCTGTATAAATAATGAATATTGACTACAATCCATTAAAAATATGCTTAGTTTATGGGACCACCAGAAGCATAATGGTCATGTTGCTGGACTCCCATGTAGTCGACTGTGATTCTAGTCCAGACCACGCAGCTTAAAATTCACTCTGGGCATATATGCATGTATGCCCAAAATCCCAAGAGGAGAATTGAGGAGACGGGATTGCAGCATGGCCACACCCCCAGGGGGTGATTTCTCACTTTCCCTCTGTCTGCTTCTCTCTGACTCTTTCCAGTAAGCACACACATCCTATGGCAAAAAAACTAAAAACAAAACAAAAAATATTTTTGATGTATGATTCTGAAGGCATAGTATTTCTTCATAAATTAAACATTTTTTTTTCCTTTTTTAGAGAGAGATTTTTGCTGTAAGGTGTGTACACTCGCCATAGAGACATGATCTGCAAGCCGCTGGGTCTGGGACTTGAACTGCAGGAGATTACATGGGAGTCCAGCACCTTAACTCCACACCATCTGCTGGCCTCTTACTAGTTTATTTTTTGTGCTAGAGGGCACTGGCACTCTCCAGAGACAGATAAAGAGACAGAGAGAGAGGCAGAGGAGAAAGCACTCCCCAGTAGGGCATGATCACACTGCAGTCACTTCTCTTCTACTTTTCCTTTCAGGATTTTGAGCATCATGCACATGTGCTGGGTGTGTTTCTCAAGCCCCCAGGTCCAGGACTTGAACTGCACAGTAGACCATGAGGGTTCCAGCTACCTTAAGAAGGCCCGAAGCCAGTCTATGATATATTTTTTAAATAAATGTATAATAATGGGATGAAACAGTCTGGTGAACAAGGAATTATTAGTTACTATACATATAAATATATTTGCATTCCTCATTTATTTTTTTTTTTTTGGAGAGGTTTTTGCTATAGGGCACGTGTACTCGCCAGCCAGACAGAGAGAGACAGAGAGACAGAAAGCGATAAATCACCCCCCAGGGGGGATGGTCACACCGCAATCCCTTCTTCTCCATTCTCCTCTTGAGATCTTGGGCACGCACACACACGCGCCCGGCGTGAGTTTAAGCCACCGGGTCCGGGACTTGAACAGCGGTCGACTATGTGGGAGTCCAGCGACATAGCCATTATGCTAACTGCTGGCCCCTGCATTCCTCATTTCAACAGGATAATAGAGTCTCAGGATTTTAAACATTCATGATTACTAATATACTACTCACTGTCATTTGATAGGAATCCTCAGTTAATAGGATAATGAAAAAATAGCTTTCAACTAACATTTCACAATACATTTTTATTTGTTTTCTTGGTGCCTACAAGTAAGTGAACTGTAAATCTGTGGCAGAGCTACAGATAAAACCTTAGACTCTAAAGTTTGCTTCGATGGTAGTTGTCAGTTAATATCATGACATGATCATCTTCTACCACTGGAGGGGGGCAAGCAATACATGCTAAGTGCTCTAAATATATTACCTAATTTAACCATTAGGTCAACTCTGTGCAGCCTGATCTGTGGGGATGAGGAAACTTCCATGATCCTGCCTGAGCCATAGAGCAGAAGAGCGGCAAAGTCACGGTCCGAGCTCTGCCCACTCAGCACAAAAGCTGGCATCTGGACCTGACAGCTCCTTGCCTCCCACATTACCTCTCCTTAAGTTAGGGATGTCTTGGTAAAGGCATTCGAGCCTCTGACAACAGCACCCTCTTTGGAATCCTTCGCAACCTCTAGCAGTATGGCATAGTGAAAACGCATTTTTTTTTTTTTTGGAGAGATTTTCACTGTAGGGCGCATGCACTCGCCAGACAGACAGAGACAGACATAGAGAGAGAAAGCGAGAAATCACCCCCCAGGGGGGATGGTCACGCCACAATCCCTTCTCCTCCATTCTCCTCTCGGGATCTTGGGCACACACGCACACGCGCCCGGCATGAGTTTTAAGCCACCGGGTCCGGGACGCGAACCACGGTCGACTACGTGGGAGTCCAGTGACATAGCCATTACACTAACTGCTGGTTCCCAAAAACGCATTTTTAATCAAACAGCTAGGGCCTCCATTTTGACCCTACCATTTGGCTCTATGACTGAAAGTTACAAAAAATAAATGACTTGCCCGGATAGAATGACTTTCCCATTCATAAAATATACTGCAAGTTCTATGGATATAAAGATTGGGCCAGTTCCATGGCATGGTGGTTAGGACAGTTATATTCAACATGTCTGACAGCACAGTTCAAGTCCCACGTTTGACAACATGAGAAACACACCAAATACATGTGTCGACATGCCCAAAATCCCAACGGGAGGGAGAGATGAAAGAGAAGGGATTGGACGTGACAATGCCCATAGGAGGTGTTTTCTCCTGTCCTTCTCTCTCTGTCTCTTTGTCTCTCTCTGGCCAGTGCACATATCTTCCAGAAAAAAAAAAAA